TGGGACCAGAACTCTGTCACTAAGGAACACCGCTTACAACCTCCATTTTCTCCATGAATTTCGCTTGTTGGAAGTTGGAAGTGAAGGTTGCAAATGGCAATCATGTAACAATAGGACAGTGCAACATCATAATTGCGATCTGGTTGCCAAGCAACCAAATTGTGATCACGTGACTATGGGGATACTGTGACCCCCACAACTCTGAGGACTATTTGTAAGCACTCTTCATTGAGCAACATTGTAAGTCTGAACAGTTGGTGAGCATGTGGTCATTCAGAAAGGACTACCTGTGTACCATTATTAGGCACAATAAATAAGGCATACAAATTTTAACAATACTTTTATCACAACTGAAAAGCTCCCACTATTAAATGATTTTTAGAGACTTATAAGAAACAGCTGGAAGTTTCCATGTGTTCAAGAAACATCCTGAATAAGTTATTTGCCCTCATGTGTATAACTGGTTGAGATTCCCTTGTGACCAATTGAGGTGTAGATTATTTACCGTCAGAGGTTCATTACAATCCAATATGTATTTCTTACATATTGGATTGTAATGAACCTCTGACGGTAAATAAAAAAATAAATGAAAAAAAATAGAGAAAATAAATTTCGTGGCAGTAGTAGATACAGAAATAAACACTTCAAAACCATTTTTTAAATAAAACTGCTAATCTAGCAAATAAAACAATTGGGCTATTTCCCCATTTTGTTCTGGAGCTTATGTTTTGAATTGTCACACTGTACTAATTAATGACTGCAATAAGCTTTTATATGTATGTATATGTATATGTATCCTGAATTTATTACATGTATAAATAACTCAAAGTGGCAAACACACACAATACTCCTTACTCTTCCTATTTTCCCCACAACAACAACACTGTGAGGTGGGTTAGGCTGAGAGAGTATGACTGGCCCAAAACCAGCTTTCATGCCTAAGGTAGAACTAGAACATTTTCTAGGCTTTTAACCTGGTACCTTTACTAGGCCAAACTGTCCTAAAAATGTTATTTCCTTTCTAAATTGTCACATATATCCCCCATAGTTGCCTATCAAAAAATCAGTAAATTATGAAATTCTGTCACTACATTGTGTGTCGCCTAGATGAGCAGTCCTGAATCTTTCCAGCTTTGCGGACCAGCGGGGGGGAGGGATGGTTTTGTGCAAGCAGTGTGTGCACTCGCCCACTACTCACACAAGTGGAGCTGCGCGTGCACACTCACACACTGCTTCTTCAGCCAATTCTGAATGGGCTGTGGCACCGTAGTGGGCCACAGCCCAGGGATTGGGGATGTCTGACCTAGATAGTGGAATGTGAGCAACATATACGAAATATTTTTTTGCCATCCATTCAATCATCTCCGATTCTCGGAGACTACCTGGACAAGTTCAATTGATAGGAAAAAAGGTAAAAATGATTTGTTGTTTTTCCCATCAGTCCTATGGTGCATGTGCCAAAAGGTGTTAAGATGTTAGGACAACTCACTGCTACTGGCTTGCAGCCACCACCTTGCCACCGCTGTCTCACCATGGGACAACTCACCATGGGACAATTCCTTTTATTAGTTATATTGGTCTAATGTAATATAATGGGAAAATGTTGGAGGCAAGGTGAACCTCTTCCTCCTCCTCCTAGCTCAGACTGGGGGGAAAATTGGGGAGGACAAAGCGGGGAGGGGAAGGACTCCCCCCACCAGAAAAAAGATCATTGGGAGAGAGTCACACACTTTTCAGTGCACAAGAGTCTCTACCACAGAGTTCGAGGAGTATTGGTGGAGGGGTGGGGGTAAGCCAGATCAAAAAGGGAGGGAGAGAGGAGGAAGAGGAGCAGGAGTTTCCCCTAGTATCTGGCATTCTCCCACGGTGAACTGTCCTGTGGTGAGTTGCCCGCAGCGAGTCAGCCATGGTGAGCCAGGGTGACAAGTTATCCCATTCCAGTTAAGGACAGTCATTGTAGGAGGACCAAAATCTATCTATGGAAATCACACTCTTGCTTTCTCAAGCAGGTAGGGTAAGATTTAAAAAAAATCAATCAAGGAATGTGGTAACCATCATTCAGGCAGAATATCTGCTGGCATCATTGCCAAAATAAAAACTAGATTGAAATTCAGACGGAAACTTCTTAAGTTAGTTTCATTTCTAGCCAGTTCCAGTTCAGGAGTCAAGCAACTTAATGTTTCTGCTATGTGGCAGAACCCATAGTCTCTATTTTCTCTCTTCATTGACAAAAACCATAACAAGAAGAAGTCAAATTTCTATAGGCCAATCTGATGACAGAAATGGTATATGGAAAAATTAATTTGGAGCAAAAGTTGTGTCAAGGTATTGATTTAACAGCTAACCAGCTTTATGTAATGTATATAAGATGTAATGATGGGAATGACTCAGCAGGGTCTGTGTCTCTTTAAGAGTCTTTTTATAAAGGGAAGGCTCTGCTGATGTGTTCTCTTTCTTCCGTTTCCTGCTGTAACTGTGGTTTGTTGGATCCTGACATATTAGCTCGTGTATGTATATTGTTCCTGATGTATGATATTGTAGATAGAGTAAGATAAACCACCTTTTACTATAGATCACTGTTTACTGTTTTTAGTCCTGGATTATCTCGTGCAATAACATTGTGCACGCTCTGACAGGTTATGGGCCCAGAGAGAGGAGAAACCCAGTGACAGCTTGACCCAGAGTCAGAGGAATTAAGGCTTGTGGTTTGTTCTGGTTTGTGGTGGTAGCAGGCAACATGGACTCCATCAGTGTAATGGGAGGAGGTTTTGGAGTGTCATGTCTGAATGAAACAAACTACCTCTCCTGGTGTCTGAAAATGGAGATGTATCTATGAAGAGAGGATTGGTGGATGATAGTTGCTGATCCACCTGCAGCCCTGGATAATGGGGACTGGAGAAAGAATGAGAAAGTATTGGCCAGCATAATCCTAAGTTTGGAAGATAGCCAGCTGATTTAGATTTTAGATTTAGATTTAGATTTTATTAAATTTATACCCCGCCCTTCTCCCGGAGGACTCAGGGCGGCTTACAGCCAGTTTAAAACAGTAATACAATACAAAATTTAAAAAGATTAAAAATAAATATTTAAATTTGGCCGCTTCTACTAAAAATTTAATTTAAAACCCCTTTAAAATACCCCTAGGCCAGTCTCCACTCTTTAGTAAAGAGTGCTGGGAAGCTTTGCACAGTGTGTATGTGAGAGAGACTACGAGCAGCAAAGTAATGCTGACAAGAAAACTATATAAGGCCTAGCTGAAACTGGGAGAGAGCACGTCTACTCATTTGCAGTCCATGAGAAAGACACTCCTAGAGTTAGAAGAAAGAGAAATGACTTTTACTGAGGCACACAAGGTATATGTGATGCTCAGTTCATTGGACACTTTATGGGATGTCCTAATGACCAGTTTAGAGTCCATGCAAGAGAGGGACTTAACCATGAGTTATTTGACTGGCCAGTTGCTGGAGGAGGAACACAAATGGCTAGAAAGGCAGCCGAGAGGGGGTGACAACACACAGACCAGGCCTAAAACTGCAACATCCAAAGATGCCAGTAGAGCAGCCAAGAACATTTGCATGGTGAAACGCTGCTTCATGTGTGGATCTACAGAGCATTTCCAGAGATTCTGCCCTGAGAGGAGAAACAGAGGAGCAGCAAAACAAGGTCATAGAACTACACAACCGACATTGTCCCTGGCAGCAACATTAACTGAAAAAAAAACACTTGGCTGTTGGTCAGTGGGGAGAGTCAGCATATTGCAAATGACCCACAAATGTTTTCAAACCTAAGACCAGCTAAACAAATATTTGTTAGCTTGGCTAATGGACAACAGTCTGTTGTTAAAGGGGAAGGTAAAGTTTATGTACCTGGTATTGGAGAAACATTGGATATGTACCATAGTTAGACCATAATTTACTCAGTATTTCGAGCTTGGATAATATGGGGTATGAAGTACTGTTTGAAAATGGTCAATACACCATCAGGAAAGGTAGGAGGATTTGTACACAAGGTGTTAAGCTGGATAATTTGTGTTAGGAAAGCAGCAGGATGGTTGTGCACGAACACTTACAAACACTCCCAAGCATGATAATTATTACACAGGAGGTTAGGTCATGCAAGTTTTAGAGTGCTGCAAAGGATGCCAGAACTAGCTGAAGG